ACGATAGCACATAACAGGTCTCTGCCAATGTTTGAAGAAACAGAAAGAAATAAGGAAGCAACAAGAAGGAAGAGAGGAAAGAACAGAGAGAGTTTGAGCTTTAGTTTCCTCTAACTGAGTGCCTTCCATTTGGTCTTAACATCTTCCTTAAAAGGCATTTAAAATACTCTTTCCATTTGAAAACAGGGGCTGGAGTGGCCAGTGAGTCCCTGTATTCCTTCTTTCAAAGTTCTAAGTCTGATAAATTGTATTTGTTTTTGTTTGTTTACTTAGGAAGCCTGTCTTTGAACATTCTTCCATTTGGCTTCATCCCCAGAACAAATAGCCCTCATCAGTACCTGAATACACAGCGCAGATTCCACTCCCTGCTTTGGCACATCCTAAGGCATTAATTTACCCCGTCCTGGCTGGCCCAAACACAACCCATCCAATAAGGCTTTTTTATTTTTTTTTTAAGTTGGCTGTTTATATAACTTCCTCTTCTTTAATTTTTATATTAGGCGTTTCTGGAGGAGAGGCTGATGTCAGAGGGCCTCATTCCAGATGCTGTTTTGAAATCCGTGTAACCATGGCATTGCTGGAGGCTGCAGAGTTCATCTGGGCCAACTGAGTCACGCCTAGGTGCAGGACCACTCTGGCCAGGGGAGGGAGGCCGTCAGGGCAGGGACTAGAGAGTCCCTGTGAGAAGGGAGGAGTGGGTGTGGGCAATGGAGTATTCTGAGCTTCTGCAGGAAGGAGATGAGGATCTGCTGTCGCCTTTGACCTTGCTGACCTGGCACCTTTGATTACAGGACTTGCTTAGACAACTGAAACCCTCCCTTGCTTAGAATTCACTCTTGGATCTTTAAGGAGTACCTAGGCTCTTTTAAAAAAGAACAAGAGCACTCAGGTTTTGGGCTGGACAGTGCCTCTCTCTGTTGTCCCAGTTCATCCCTGCCTCAGACTCGACTCCTCCGTGCTCATCACCTCTTCTGCCACCCCCAGCAAACTCGTCCAAGCCCCTGTGAGCTCCTGCAAGCCCCGGTGAGCCCGTACCCCTCTACTCATTCCCATGTCTTACCACCACCCAGACTTGTTTCCTGGAATATCCTGCTTTCAACAGCCACCTCCCCCAGGACACTGCTCCCCACACTGTCCAACCTCCTAGAGCACCCATGATTTCCCTGACATGGCTGTGCCTGCATTTTCCCGTATCAGAAATATTTTGTCTCTGTCTCCGTCATCATCCCGTGAGCACCATCAACTAGAACTCCGCACACTGTCCAGCACATTGAAGGGGCTCCATAAATGTGATTGAATTCATTAAGTACTTAATTCCGGAACTAAGTTTTACTTAAGTCATTCAGAATTACTTAATTCATTAAGTACTCAGATCTGGAACAAGTAATCTTAATAAACATTTATAGAACTCTCCACTTCAAATACACAAAATATACACTCTCATCACACCTACTCACAGGTTTAAATGAAATATTGGTTGGTTGCTTGTTTGTTATTTTCTTCCCTCATTTTTTCCTGTCTCCATTATGAAGCACAATTATCGGCATAAAAGAGGTTTTCAATACCCATTTTTAGACTGCATTCTAGCCCGGGCAATAAAGCAACACTCCCGTTCTCTCTCTCTTTCTCTTCCTCTTTCTTCCTCTCCTTCATTTTTTTTCTTTCTTTTTTTCTCTCTTTCATTCAAAAAAAAAAAAAGTACTTAATTCCTCAGAATTAGTCCCCCCATGCTAAAACAGAAATAATAGTAATCATAATATTTATCAATTACTATGTGCACTGTTCTGTTGTAGGTGAATTTTCTCATGTAAATGCCTATAACATTATCCTTATAAAATCCATATGAGATTTGTACTATTTTTGACATTCTCCATTTAACAGGTTAGGAAACTGAGGCACAGAAAGGTAAGGTGGATTGTCTAGGATTACACAGCTGGTAACTGAGAAAGTCAGGCCACACCCAGGTAGTCAGATTAATGAGCCACACCCCTAACCCCTATCCCATACTGCCCTTCAGAAATAGCAATACTGCTGTTATGATAATATTTATATTTGATAATATCTATCATTAACATATTATACTATCTTCCTCCCAAGGTTTGGGGAAAAGGGGGATGAGATAAGAGTTGTGAAAACATTTTTAAAACCAAAATATGGACCAGGTGCTGTGGCTCATGACTGTAATCCAAGGCAGGCAGATTAATTGAGGTTAGGAGTTCAAAACCAGCTTCGTCAACATGGTGAAACCCCGTCTCTACTAAAAATATTTTTTAAATTAGCTGGGCGTGGTAGTGAGCGCCTGTAATCCCAGCTACTCTGGAGGCTGAGGCAGGAGAATTGCTTGAACCTGGGAGGCGGAGGATGCAGTGAGCTGAGATCACACCACTGCACTCTAGCCTGGGCGACAAAGCAAGACTCCATCTCAAAAAAAAAAAAAAAAATGTGGTGCACATGTGAATCACAAAGAGACGAAAAGGTGAAGTTTGCTCTTTCCCCTTCCCAGGTCCCTCCCCACGCCCACTCCTACCCTGTGCCATGTAGCGGTTCCCAAGTATCCGGCCTCCTGCTGTGGAACAGAGTGCCAGATGTGCCCACCTGTGCCCGGTGGCCCAGCATGAGCATTCAGAACTCTCCTCTCCTGCCTTTGCCTGGAATTCTCTCCCATCCTCCCCTGCTTAGTACAACTGTGCACCCTCAGAGCACAATTCACCATTTTCCTGACCATTTCCCCAGCCCCTCGTGTTTTGCATGTTGGGACAGGGCACCTCCATCCCCCCGGTCCCCTCACTGGTGGCCTGGGTTACTGCTACGGTCCCCCTTGCTGGTGGCCTGGGTTACTGCTGCGGTCCCCCTCGCTGGTGGCCTGGGTTACTGCTGTGGTCCCCCTCGCTGGTGGCCTGGGTTACTGGTCCCCCTTGCTGGTGGCCTGGGTTACTGGTCCCCCTCGCTGGTGGCCTGGGTTACTGCTGCGGTCCCCCTTGCTGGTCTCCCTGCACACCATTCTCCACTTGGCACTCAGAGCGCTCCTTTTAAAACACCAATCTGAGCATGTCACTTTCCTACTCAAAATCCTCCAGTGGCTTCCAGTCCTTCATAGAATACGATTCCAAGTCCTCGCCGCAGCCCTTGTTCTGGTCCCTGGTACCACCTCAACTTGGTCTTCTGCGTCCTCCTCTTCCCTCTCTGCCCCAGGCATATGGGTCTCCTTGATGCTCCCAAGCACACTCTTGCTTCCTGTCTTCGCGCATGCTGTTCCCTCTGCCTGGAATGCCCCGCCCCAGGTGGTCATGTGATGCACGCTTCCACTTCAGGTCTTGCCCAAATGTCACATCTTTAGGGAAGCCTTTGTGATACCCTTTTCAAAAAGGGCAGTAACCCCTTCTCATCACTCTCTATCCCCTTACCCTGCTTAACATTTCTTCAGAGCCCTTTGCTATTTAATATTATATGTCAAGTTATTATCTTCATCCCCATATCAGAATAAAAGTTGCAACAGGGCAAGGGCTGTCTGTTTCACTCAATCCCATGCCTGGCTTAAGTATTAACTGAATGAAGGAAGGAATGACAGCCTCCCAGGGACGTGCTCTTTTTATCCTTTGAGGAGCTTCCTACACCCATCTCATAATGTATTTTTTACTCTATTTTAAGTAAGTTGTTTCAGGGCAGAGACTGGACCCCCACCGTGCCTTGCAGATAATAGGTGCTCAGGAAATACTTACAATATTAAGTGGAAGCAAGTGAAAATTCATTCTAGGATTCTGCTGAGGTATTGAAATAATTTTTGCATTTCATTTATGTGAGCACTAATCTAGACACATTCATAATGTCACTAATAAATTTGACTCTCGGTTGGTGAACTGGATTTTTTCACATCATTAATGGCAGCCTGGGAGCCTGGTGAGCGTCCCCAAACCCACTGGGCTGCTGGCTTCTCTTTCTACCCTATCAGGTGAGCTCAGGGCATATTAATGGAAGTCACATCATGGGTTACAGAGCACACTGGGCTGGGTGAGGCCCCTGAGGATGCTGTGGGTCCCTTAAGGCCCTTAACACATATGTTGTTTATTGTATGCCTTAAGAAGTCATTTCCCTCCTGAAGAAGGCAAGTTGTACAGAGATGACAGACCCCTTTCAAAGGAACTGGAGTGCCTTCCCTATTTATATTCACAGCCTGGTAGTAGGCTATAGGAGAAACATCTCTATGTTGGCCCTTCACTGAGTTACCAGCACTGACCTCAGGGTTCAGGGCCATTTGGACCCTTGAGAAATCTCACTTTTGATAGAAGGCACTGTACTTAATAGGGAATAGTTTGACAGTAAACTCTTCTCATCAGTCTAGATTTCTGATATTCTGCAATCTCCATCTTATCATGATGACAAAAATTGAAATGTGATATCACAGAAAGGTAAACGTTCTGAATTTTGGCAGGCCCCTAATACTGCTTATTTCCCCTCCCCTATTGATGGCTCCACTTGCTACCTTCAGCACCCGCACTTAGGTTGAAACTGGCAGAGGGCACCTGGAAAATGTTCACAGTCAGTGTTCAGAGAACGAAGTCACTCATCTGGTACCCCTTACCCTGCTTGCCATAAGGCCTCCTCCTCTGCCCAGGCACTATACTCTGTTTCTATGAGTCTACAAGAAAGATGTGAGTTGACCTGCCTATGGTATGCTCTCTAGTGCCTGTGTAGACACAAGAGCTTCCCAGTATATTGACTACGGCATCTGGCATGTTTCCATCAGGGATCTAGGCTCAGTTTACCTTGGAGTGTCACAGTGCTTTACTGAAACTCTCAAGTAAGAGTGTTATCTGAGCCCAATTCACTCCCACGCTCATTGTTACAGTTCCAGTGGGCCCTGCCTCAACTTCTGCCTTGCTCTCTTTCAGAATTATAAGTCTGCAGCTTCCTCATTTTTGAATCGATGGATTCAAAGACTTTAATTCACAGCACCAGAAACCAACTGCAGGCTCTTTCAGCCCCACAAAGCCTGGGCATACCTTCATGAAGAATATCCTCCTACAGGTCTTGCCTCGATCACTCCCAGCTCCTTGCAGTTGAGCAGCCTCAGAGGCCAGTGCTAGATCAGGAATGCTGCTTGGCCCAGCCTCCGACGTGTCTGCCAGCTGCACAGATGAGTGGAAAATTCCCTCCTTGCCCTGGGCCAAGGAGATCTCAAAGGGATCAGGATATTTCTCATCAGGGCTAGAACCATCGTCACTGGTCTTAGCATTACAGAGCATCAGGGACCTGGAGATGGACCGAAATTTTGCAGATTTTCTGCTCTTTCCAGTGCGGCTGTGTGATTCCATCCTCAAAGGGGAAGTGAAGTTGCCTTTCTTCCTTTCCTGGTCTCTGGCCCTTGGCTGACGGGTGGCCACTGGACAAGGCTTAGCTGCCACTTCATGAGTCCCTAGAGGAAAGAGGAAACGGGAAGAAGCAATGTGACTTGCTGCCGACAAGCAGAGCTGGACACAAGTCCTGGATCTGAGCCATGGGTTCCTGGTGCCCGTGAAGCAGGACAGGTGGGCAGACTGTCCCTCAAGATCACTGGCCCTTCCCGTGTGCCAGCCAAATGGGGCTCAGTTAACCCTGTGGTTAATGCCACTCTGCTCCTAGGATCATGGAGACCCAGCCCCAGAGCTTCTCATTTTACAAGACAGGGGAATTGAGGTGCAGGGAGGGAAAGTATTAACCCAAGGCACTAGCAGAAGAGCCGGTAGTCGGTCACAGGAGACAGTTTAGGGATCATAGAGACCAGTGCTTTGTGAGGTTTTTAAACTTGGAAGCCATTCTTTAAACAGAAGTGTGCAGTGAACTCCAGTCTAGAGAGCAGACCAAAGACAGGAAAACTGGAGACTAAGTTCCACCTGCCTGGTCCCCTTGGTCACCCTTGGTGACTCCCGTAGCATCTGCAAAGAAGCCCCAGAATCCATGGAGCTGAGTCTGAAGACCACTGATATCTTACGTCCTCCACTGACAGATGACGAACCCAAGACTAGGAAGATTGGAAGTCTTACCCAACACTGACCTGTCAGAATGGATGTGAGCATAAAGAAGGTGACACTTGGCAAGTGCCCGCCAAAGGGATGAGCGGATAACAGGCTCTCGGCAAACACGCGTGTCTTTCTCCAGGCCTAAGGTCAAACATTTGGCCAGGGTCACAGTTAGGCCCAGGAGCCCCTGCTTCATCGTGTGTGCACTGAGTCAGACTCTCACAGCCAGAGAGGCCAGAGATGGGTTTTCCGGCCAGGCCAACAGCCTGGCTCTGCTCCACCAAGAGGACCCCCCATGGATTCAGTTTCCATGAAGCAGGTGGTGAAAAGGGCCCTGACGCTGTATCCAAAAAGGTTCTGACTCAGGCCTGAGCCACAAAAGAGACACTGTTGCCGGAACAAGAAACTGTGGGATGCACTTGGTCCACCACTGTACTGCTATGTGCACATCCAGTATTGAATAAGAAATACCAGACGCCTCACGACATTTCATTGCATCAAAACTCTTTCACATATCCCCAGAGAGAAAATGTTTTCAACACTCAAGACTGCTCTTCAGCACTCAGACTGCACACATTTATTGTTTCCTGTGTTCGCTCTTTATCAATTTATTCACCGACCATCACAGCAATTCATAGCAATAAACAAAAATGTATGAATAACGGATTGAAAGTCTACTACATATCAGGCACTGTGCTTGATGCTTTCGTATAAATTAATTCAGTGTGGATCCATTTTATCAAGCGCCCTCTTGTCAACATGCCAAAGTTTTGCACCCTGTGTTCTTCCATCTCAAATGATAGTAAAACCCCAATCACAGACGAATCCAAACCTCTGCAGAGTTTATGCCTGGCTGTGGATCTCTAAGCCTTGAAGAAGACACTCTCACTCCTGTACAGGCTGGTACCATAAAACATTCATGGCCACCAACTGGGCCTCCAGCTCTGGCCAGCAGTGGTAGTGTTTTAGTAATTCGCTTGAGAACACATTTCCAACAATGTCTATTTCAAAACTTCACTGTGGTGCACCAGGCATTGTTCTCATTGCTTTACTATTTAGTTCCATAAACTCTATGGTAGGCTCTGTCAATACCCTCATTTTACAGAAGAGATACAGAGGCACAGGGAGGTTGGATGACTTTCCCAAGATCACACAGCTGGAACTCAGTGAAAGCAGGAATCAAACCAAGCGATGTGGCTCTGAAGTCTGCATGCAGCACCCTGCCTCTACCTTCTTACAGAGTATTGCCTGTCTCAGCTTTAGCCTCAGTCTCTTCCTGTGTCCTGGATCTTTATCCTTAACACATACACACGTTCAAACATTTCCTCCCTTTCAAACACCGCACGTTAACTCCATGTCCTCCTCTTGCCGCTTGCTTTTCTTTTCTTTTCTTTTCTTTTCTTTTTTTTTTTGAGACAGAGTTTCTCTCTTGTTACCCAGGCTGGAGTGCAATGGCGCAATCTCGGCTCACTGCAACCTCTGCCTCCGGGTTCAAGCGATTCTTCTGCCTCGGCCTCCCGAGTAGCTGGGACCACAGGCACGCGCCACCATGCCCAGCTAATTTTTTGTATTTTTAGTAGAGACGGGGTTTCACCATGTTGACCAGGATGGTCTCGATCTCTTGACCTCGTGATCCGCCCGCCTCGGCCTCCCAAAGTGCTGGGATTACAGGCTTGAGCCACCGCGCCCGGCGCCACTTGCTTTTCTTGTATCCCCTTCGTGTCTTCCTGAGCAAACGTTCTGCACTTTGCACTTCTCTCCTCATGCTTCCCTCCTCTTCAAGCCTTAGCCCACAGCGTCTGCTTCCTTTTCCTAGAGCCACTGACACTGTTTTATCAGGTCTGCCTTTTAAGAAACCCAAAGCTATGAACTGAAGTCCAGAGACCGCCATCTGCTTGGTTAAAAACCTTGCTGCATTTTGAGAGAATGTGTTAACCGGTATATCAATGCTCAGATCCACTGGCAGAAGAATATGTAGATTTCAAGCTTTTAGAGTATTTTTCTTTTTCACCTCATTATTGCCTTGTTCCAGACGTCACCCTCCAAATGCGAGTGGGAATGTTCCCCTGCCCCCACCCCCAACACAAGAGTTTCTCTGCATCCCGCCAATTCGGTTTCCCAAAACGACTGACTCTCCACACCAATGTGGCTATAAATAATACGTCCAAACTTCTTTCCATTTTGATCACTTCCTTGGGAGTTCCCATAGTTCACCAGGGTTTCACGGGAAGAGGTGTGTGTGTGTGTGTGTGTGTGTGTGTGTGTGTGTTGGTCACAGCTAACACTGGTCCATTAGGCATTTGGAAATTTGTAAGATGATCAGTGCTGTGTTAAAATCCTTCTGCACTTTGCTGGTGCTGAACAGGACAGATATAAACATGGGGTTGCTGAGGGCCACCACGTAGAGAGGCTGCCTGAGAGTGAAGCCAACACGGAAGGTCCAGAACTCACAGAGGTGGGGAGAGAAGTGGAGGTAAAGGAAGGAGGACAGAGAGACAATCTGAGAGAAGCGGAGTTCAGAGGTTATCATATGAGCGTCTGGATCCAGGTGTGCCCGAAACCACATCAACCTATGCAGTTATGCCAACCAATAGATTCCTCTTTTGCTTAAAAAAAAACACCCTCCTGGAATAGTGGTTCTTCTCTGTGCTGTTGCTGACATAAAGCATGGAAAAGAATGACATCCAAGGGCCAAGAGGGTTTTTGAAACTCCCTTATCCCACCCCAAGCCAGAAGAGAAGCCAGTCATACCTACTCAAGGCCTCAACTCTACCCCCTCCATCCCCTAGTGCCAAGCTCTGGCATAACAGCCTCTTGAATTCCTGTCCCACCAAGAATTGCCACAGTCTGCATGAGTTCTCGGAAAGAAAACCCAATTCCCTTTCTCTTCCACATCCTCTCCCAATGTATAATAATTGTTGGGTAAGAGCCAGACCATTCACTAGGCCTTTTCCAGGACAAAAAAATCATCGAGGACCTTTGGGACTAGGTGCAAGGCTGGGTGCTTTACTCAGTGGTGGAATAGTTGGCTGCATGCAGTATTTAGAAGAACAGAGGGGTCAAATTCCTGGGTGGAAACTGTGCTAATCCTAATGCACCATCTGCGGGAGTGTCTGATGGGTACTGGCAGCTTAGAAAAAATAAGCTATTCCCCAGAGACCCCCCACTTCCATGACCTGGGCTCTCACGTGGGACGGCAGGGGCCATGGGATGCAAGTTGGCAACGCACCAGCGGCAAGGCATTAACCCTTTGGTTAAGAGCGAAGACAGTTTTCAAAATGACCCTTTCATTATAGAAAATGTTTCTTTCTTTTCTTTTTTTTTTTTAAAGAAGAAGGAAAAAAGGAAGAGAACAATTGCAAAAGAGCTGGAGTGGAGGAGCCAGAATTGAACTTCTGTGGGAAGACTGCCTTCCCTCCAGGCCTGGCACCGAGAGAGAGGAAGGGGGAGAGAGGAGAGAGAATAATTGAAAACACAGTGCCGCAGTCACATGGTTCAGCTTAGCTTCAGTAATTGAGCTCAGGACATTGGAACCAGCTCTTGCTCCCGAATGGAACCAAATGTCAGCAGAGCTTGGGGACAAGCCCGTGCCATTCCTCCAGCCCAGCTGCCTTCGAAAGGTTGGAACTAATGAGCTTTCCCTTATTTTTCCCCAGGCTCTCTGACAACTTGTCAAACTCTTGCCAGATTTTCTCTGCCTCTGGTGGACCCGCCACAAGACGGCCTTGTGGGTCTTCTCCAGAGGATTTTGGGGGAAGCACAATGAAGGTCTCTAACACAGCTTCATGAATGCAATCAGTTACTTTTACTTCCCAGCAGAAAAACTGAGACGTTCTGCAACTCCGCAGAAAACTGCTCTCCAACTCCCTGGAGGCTTCCCCACGCCACCCCAACTGTGCTAGGGTATTTGCTCTTTAGTTATATTCCACTGAATACCAGATCTGGGAGGGGTCTCCCCACCACATCTTAGGTAAGGACATTGGGCCCAATAGAGGGACAGGGCAGACTCATCATCACAGTTACCAGGATATGTTTTTACGATGGCAGAGCTGACGTTTACTTAGAACATGCAGAGCTGAAAGGAGGGAGCTGAATTGCAAAGAAATGGTTAGTTCCTCCCCTTTCAAGAAGTTCAAAAACCTTTCAGAATATGTGCTGTGAAGCAGGATCAGTTAGTCTGTCCCTCCCTTCCTACTTCCTTCCTTCCTTTTCGTTTTTTTTCATTCGGCAAGCACTTGTTGAGAAACTGTTATGTGCCTGTTTTTGTGCTAAGCAAAGCTAACCTACTGGAGGAAAGGCCACAGTATTTCCATCTGGATAAAATACATTAAACTCCCTGGAGATCTTTGGGAGGGTAAATAACCATATGGAGCAAGGGGAACTAGCTGGTAAAATGTGTTTCAAATTGCTGAATTCT